AATTCATGTTATCAGTTCTAGCAGTCTTTGGTGGAGTCGTTCAGGTTTTTCGTGTGGAATATCATGTCAGCAAAAAGTGAAAATTTGACTTCTTTGCAAATTTGGATGCCTTTTATTTCATTTTGTTGTCTGATTTCTGGGGCCTAGGACTTCCAACACTGTTAAACGACAGTGGTGAGAGTGGACATCCCTGTCGTGTTCCTGATCTCAGGGGGAAAGCTCTCAGTTTTTTTCCCATTGAGGATGACATTAGGGATGGGTCTTTCATGATGTTAAGGTGTGTTCCTTCTATCCCAACTTTATTGAGGGTTTTTATCAAGAAAGGATGCTGTATTTTGTCAGCAGTGACAGAATCATATGGTTCTTATCCTTTCTTCTATTATGTGATATATCACGATTGATTTGCGAATATTGAGCCAGCTCCACAGCCCAGGAATGAATCCCACTTGATCATGGTGAATAATTCTTTTAATATACTGTTGCATTTGATTTGCTAGTATCTTGTTGAGAATTTTTGCAGCCATGTTCATCAGGGATATTGGCCTGTAATTCTCCTTTTTAGTGGGGTCTTTGGTTTGGGAATCAAGGTAATGCTGGCTTCATAGAATGAGCCTGGAAACTTTCCTTCTGTTTCTATTTTTTAGAATAGCTTCAGAAGAATAGGTATTAACTCTGTTTTAAATGTCTGGTAGAATTCCCCTGGGAAGCCATCTGGCCCAGGACTCTTATTTTTTGGGAGATTTTTGATAACTGATTCAAGTTCTTCGCTGGTTATCTGTTCAAATTTTCTATTTTTTCCCTTTGAGGTTTGGTAGTGTGTGGGTGTCTAGGAATATGTCCATTTCTTCCAGATTCTTCAGTTTGTTGGCATAAAACTTTTCATAGTATTCTCTAAGAATTGTTTTATTTTGGTGGTGTTGGTTATGATCTCTGCTCTTTCATTCATTATTTTATCTATCTGGGTCCTCTCTCTCTCTTTTTATTTATTTATTTATTTATTTATTTATTTATTTATTTATTTGAGAAGCCTGGCTAAGGGGTTATCAATTTTGTTTATTCTTTTTCAAAAAAATTAGCTCTTAGATTCATTGATCTGTTCTACTGGGTTTTTGTTTTGTTTTGGTTTTGGTTTTTTTTTTGGATTCTATATTGTTTAAACACTCTTTTTGCTCTAATTTTTTTTTTTTTTGTTTTTCTGCTGGCTTTGGGCTTTTTTTTTTTTTTTTTTTTTCTACTGCTTTTCTAGTTCCTGTAAATATGAGGTTAGGTTCTGTATTTGAGACCTTTCTTGCTTCTTGAGATAGGCCCGGATTGCAATGTATTTTCCTCTTATGACTGCCTTTGCAGCATCCTATGGGGTTTGGATTGTCGTGTTTTCATTTTCATTTGTTTCCATATATTTTTTAATTTCTTCTTTAATTTCCTGGCTCACCCATTCATTCTTTAACGGATGTTCTTTAACCTTTATATATTTGGGCTTTCCAAATTTTTTCTTGTAGTTGATTTCAAGTTTCATAGAATTGTGATCTGAAAATATGCATGGTATGATCTCAATCCTTTTATATTTGTGTGTTTTTTAAATTTACATCCAAGTTAGTTAGCATATAGTGCAATAATGATTTCAGGTCTGGAATCCAGTGATTCATCCCCTACATATAACTCCCACTACTCGTCCCAACGAGTGTCTTCCTTAATGACCCTTGCCCATTTAGCCCATCCCACAATCCTTTTATGTTTGTTGAGGGCTGTTTTGTGACCCAGTATTTGATCTATTTTGGAGAATGTTTCATGTGCACTCAAGAAGAATGTGTATTCTGCTGCTTTTGGATGAAAAGTTCTGAATATATTTGCTAAGTCCATCTGGTCCAATGTGTCATTCAGAGCCATTGTTTCCTTATTGATTTTCTGTCTAGATTATCTATCCATTGTTTAAATGAAGTATTAAATCCCCTATAATCACTGTACTATTATCTATACATTTATTTATGTTTGTGATTAATTGACTTATATTTTGGGGTATTTCCACTGGGGGCATAGACATTTACAATCATTACCTCTTCTTGATAGATAGACCCCTTAATTATGATATAATGCCCTTCTTCATCTCTTGTTACAGTTTTGTTCTGAAATCTAGTTTGTCTGATATAAGTATGGCTACTCTGGCTTTCTTTTGACATCCAGTAGCATGATAGATGGTTCTCCATCCCCTCACTTTCAATCTGCAGGTGTCCTCAGGTATAAAATGAGTCTCTCATAGGCAGAATATAGATGGATCTTGTTTTTTTTTTCAGTCCATTCTGATACCCTATATCTTTTGATTGGGGCATTTAATCCATTTACGTTCAGAGTGATTATTGAAAGATATGGATTTAGTGTCTTGTGTTATCTGTAGGTTTCATGCTTGTGGTGATGTCTCTGGTCCTTTGTAGTCTTTGCTGCTTTCCACTCACGGAGTCCCTCTTAGGATCTTCTGTAGGGATGGTTTGGTGGTCATGAACTCCTTTAGTTTTTGTTTGTCTGGGATAGCCTTTATCTCTCCTTCTATTCTGAATGACAGCCTTGCTGGATAAAGGATTCTTGGCTGCATATTTTTCCTATTCAGCACATTGAATATTTCCTGCCACTCTCTTCTGGCCTGTCAAATTTCAGTGGACAGGTCTGCTACTACCCTTATGTATCTAACCTTGTAGTTTAGGGCCTGTTTGTCCCTAGTTGCTTTCAGAATTCTCTTTATCTTTGTATTTTGCCAGTTCCCCTATGATATGTCATGGTGTCAACTTGTTTTTATTGATTTTGAAGGGAGTTCTCTATGCCTCCTGGACTTGGATATCTGTTTCCTTCCCCAGGTTAGGGAAGTTCTCAGCTATAATTTGTTGAAATAAACTTTCTGCTGCTTTCTCTCCCTCTTCTTCTTCTTCTGGAACTCCTTTGATATGGATATTATTTTGTTTCATTGAATCACTTTGGTCTCTAATTCTCTCCTCATTGTCTAGTAATTTCTTTTCCCTCTTTTTTTCCCCGCTTCATCATTTCCCATAATTGTATCTTCTATTTCACCTATTGTCTCCTCTGCTTCTTCTATCCTTGCTGTCACTGCATCTAGTTTATTTTGCACCTCACTTACAACATTTCTGAATTCGTGACTGTTTCTTAGGTCCTTGTTCTCTGCAGCAATAGGTTCTCTGCTGTCTTCTATGCTTTTTTCAAGCACAGATTTTGTCTTATGACTATTATTCTAAATTCTTGTGCAGACATATTGCTTATATCTTTTTTGAGCAATTCTCTGGCTGTCATTTCTTCCTGGAATTTTTTTTTGAGGCGAATTCTTCCATTTCATCATTTTGGCTAGGTTTCTGTCGTTTATGTGTTTTAATAGCTTGTTATGTGTCCTGCACCTGTGAGTACTACTATATTAAAAAGAGATCATACACTGTCCAGGGCTTGGCACTTCAGGAAGTACTTTTGGAGTGTGTTGCATGCACTCTGTTGTTGCATCTTTAGCTGTTCTATCCCACTGCTCATAGTGGTGTGTTGCAGACTTTGAGTTTGACGTTCTCTCTTGTCCAACAAGAGAGCGGATGCAGAATTGAATATGAGAGAGGCTAATGTCCAGGAGGAGACAAGAGCACTGAGTAAGGGTCCTTGCTCTGTATATATTAGGATCAGAAGGCTTTCAAACATGATGGATGTGCAGAAAGAGACAATAAAATGGTGATCATTAACTCATGTTTGTGAGAGAAAGGGGTTTTCTAAGATATGTGGTGTTAGGGGTTTGGGTCAATACAAAACAAAATTCTGGTGCTGAGCAGATGGCTGTTTACAGCAGGCACCAGGTGCTGTGTCTGTTTATCTTAACTTAGATAAGATGGATAGAGCATGGTGCCTCAGGGTCAACAAGGCACTTTTTTTTTTTTTTTTAATTAGCTCCAGGCAATTTCACCCGGCTTTGGAGGTCTTTCTCACTGTTTACCTTTCAGCTCTGCTGGGGGCGCTTCTGCTCTGTGCTCTGTTTACCTATTCTCAGACACTTTTGTCCTGTGGAAGCAGTTTCGTGCTCTTTGCTTTGTTCTATGCTGGGGGCACTTTAGCCCTGTGGCTGCTTTCTGCTCTAGCCCTGTTAACCCATTGGTGCAAGCTTGGGAATTCCTAAACTTATTCCCCACAGTGGTGGATTTTTTGGACCTTCTACCAGGTGTGCTTTGATTTGTTCCTTGAAGAAACCATACAAAACCACAGGGCAGTTGTCTGTTGGTGCCTGGAACTAGAGGCTGTGCTGGTCTGAGAGGCTGTTTGGTTCAGTCAGTGTCAGTCTCACTCCATAGATAAGCAGTTACCCGGCTATGGAGGGGCATGGTTTGGTGTAAGTGTGTCCCACCTCCACTGAGGGCTGCTGTCCTGTTCCCTGAAACCCCACCATGTTTATGACAGGGAGAAAAATGGTGACACCCCAATCTCTCCTCCCCAGACCTGGTGTCTCAAACCACGCTGTTCAGGTAGCACTCACAGTGTAGTGCCGGCAGGCAGCTTGCCCTGTTACACAGTCTCCCATGCCTCTTCGGCACTGGGCTAGGATTCAAAACCTGATGTCTTAAAGGATTCTGCTCCATGACCTGGTTCTGGGGTATTGCCACTCTGCCCAGATGACAAAGGGCCTCTGGCTGGTGCCTAGAGAGTCTTTTGTCCTTGGAGTATACCCTCTTCCCACAGTACTCAAGGGAGGGGACTATTTTCTTCCAGGTGCCCCTGAGATCACCATGGCATACCTGTGCTGGGTCCCCTTCCCCACCGCGGGCACCTGCACATGGCCCCCTCTAGTCCACAGAAAATTGCACACCCCTGAAAACTCTGATCTTTATCTCCTAAGGCTGTTTGCAAAGTAGAAACTGGCTCTCTCCATATTTTTTGTTCCCTAGTCCATGGTCTGAAGAGTTTTTTCTCTTGTCCAAATAAAATACTACAGTTCCACAGCTTCTCTTTTTCTTCCTCTTGTCTCTCCACAGATGGGGTCCCCTCCCGTCCGTGCCCAGAACCACCAGTTTTATCTCTCCCAATTCATGAACACGCACCTCTGTCCCGCCAAGCTGTCTCTTTCCACCTGTGGAGATTTTTCTGCCACTCCGCAGCCTGCATTCCCGGGCGTTCCAAGTGTTCTGACCTCAATACAGATGTGTTTGAGGGAGAAGGGAAATTGTGGTTCCTTTACTTCTCTGCCATCTTAACTCCTGGTGTCATGTGAGTTTTAAAAAAAAGCTATGTTACTATGTGAATGAACCATGAAAACACTGCTTGATAAAATAATCCAGACACATGAGATAACACATTTTTTATTCCATTTATATGAAATACCTAGAATAGGCAAATCCATAGAGACATAAAGTAAATTGGTGATTGTGAAGACTAGGAATAGGGGAAATGAGGAGTAACTACTATTGGGTATGAGGTTTCTTTGTGGAGTAATGTAAATGTTCTAGAATTATATAGTGGTGGATGGTTGTACAACTTTTGAATATGCTAAAAATTGCTGAATTTTACACCAGAAAGGGTGAGTTTTATGGGGTGTGAATTATATCTCAATAAAGCTGTTATAAAAACTCAGCCCTGAGCTAAGCGCCTTTTTTAAAAAAGGTAATCTTGTTATATCTAGAAAGATGACTGACTGGCTAGGGTACGAAGATAAGCTGATAGTTTATTTTCATGGTACTCGTTTGTGCATTTAAAATTTTTTTACTGTGCGTACATACTATCTGTGAAAATTAACTTAAAATATTTTTACTATTATGTATTCATTAAATATGTAGAAAGTTTTTATTCATGTAATACTATAGTAGATCCTTGCTGCCTAAATTCTTAAAGAAAATCCTGTGGTCAGTATGTTTGAAAAGAATGATTATCAATGAACCCTTTATTACAAAACATAAAATGATCTTAGAATTTCCCAGACCTTCAAAGTTGCAGTTGGGAATTCTGATTTGAATCTGATTCCTATTCCTTTGTCTATATTCTCTCCTTTCTCTATGAGAACATTAAGAATTCTCCTGAAGTTCAGAAATTTAAGCACAATCTTTTCTTCATCAATATTGCTTTCTCTTGAATATCTCTGAAAATATTAATTATGGCAAAATAAAATGATCCATGGGCTTTCTGGGATCATAAATGACAGCTAGCTTCTGGCTTCTTCTGGCTACAACCCAGCTCAGTATTTCTTATTTCCATCTTAGCATTCTATCATAACAAATACTTTTTACCAAACGCTGGCCTTCAACTGGCACCTTATTCCATGTGATTACATGTGGTAATATAAGTAACTCTTTTACCATGCATGCCTGGGAATACCGATGTCTTATTTTCCACTGGTAATAAAATCATCACTGTTGGGGTGCCTGGGTGATTCAGTTAAGTGTCCACTCTTGATTTTGGCTCAGGTCATGATAGGGTCGTGGGATCAAGCCCCACATTGAGCTTTGCACTGACAGTGCAGAGTTGGCTTGGGATTCTGTCTCTCCCTATCACACATTCTCACTCTGCCCGTCCCACGGTCATATGCATGTGCTTTCTCTGTCTCTCAAAATAAATAAATACACATTTAAAAAAAATTATCACTGTCTTTTGAACCACACCACATCAAATAATAAATCTTAGATTCCCATTTTGAGGTTTTATTTCTTTCTTTTCTGAACATCTTAAGATTTTAGTAGAGGAAATAGAAACCAGTCTAGGTATGTTACTCTGAAAAGAAATTTGGTGCATACAAAATCATTTGAAAGCCTGGAAGAATGAAAGTCAGGGATCCAATGAGACTTTTAGTTTGAAGATCATACAATTGTAGCTGTGATGTAGAAGTGAGAAAATGAGTGCAATTATTGCCACTAACCTTTTTCCAGAACTGCTGCTCCACTGTAAGTTTATCCCTTTGAAGCTGGTGAGTAGATTCTGCCAGAATGTGAATGGAGCTTGTATTGGTGCTTCTACAGCTAACAGAAGATGGCCTCTTCCTCCCTTTTACCTTCTAAATCTCATGATGTATGTAGGAGCCCTGATATTTCTGAATTACAGAAGTTTTAAAGGTTTTTAAAAGTTTAGTTCCTGTCATGTTGTTAGATTTAATATTTAATTAATATTTTATACTTTAATACTTATACTTTTTAAGTATAATACTTTTGTACTTAAATACTTTAATATTTAATTAATCTTGTTTGCTCATATGTCTGTATACATAGATTGCATGGTATTGGTAGCCAGAATTTATATACCTTGCCTAAATAAGAAGCCCTGTTCACCTGGAAAATAGATAATGGATACAAGTTCTGTTTATAGATGTCTTTGCTCTTATGATTATAGTGGGTGGGAAGAAGTTTGGTGGTACAGGGAAGGTGCATGTGAATGAGTAGGCTGTCCTTTATGGTTTATTAGTAGTTTATAATGCTAAATTTTTCCATTTCTTTTGGCAGTTGATAGTGGACTCACTATCTTTCTTTCTCTTATAAACCTGGTACCCATTCTGAAAATTTCTGGAGTCAGACTTCCTGCTTAATAGAACTGAACTTGAACTTTTATTCTGGAAAGAAACGTTGTTTTCAGCTTCTCTGGAAACAGGATTGCTGTGTGATTTTTTCCTTTTAATGAATTATCCAACCGGTTGTCCAAGTCTTAGCCCTCTTCAAAGGCCTCATTATCTCTCATCTGAGGGTTATACAGACACTTTT